GGGGGGGGGGGGGGGGGGGGGGGGGGGGGGGGGGGGGGGGGGAGGGGTATATAGCTTTGTTCAACACGGCGCCCCCCTCGTCGCGTAAGCTAGACGCGTGCACATGACACTGCGTGCGGTGCGAACTCACGCTGCGTGCCTGCTGTCTGCATGCACGGGAACCATGACTTTACCCCTTTAGATATTGAAGTAGCGCAATCAACCGGCAAAGATTAGTCAAAGAGGTGTCATTCTTGATCGACACTTAGAGGCCATCAAAGAACATGTCATTGCGGGCAACTGCCTCAAGAGGGCAGACTGGGAGGCCATGGAGGTGACGTGGGGGCTGAAAACCAGTGGCGTCTTCGGGCCGGAAGAGTGGACCAACCAGATTGATGGGCAAATCCGGGGTATCATCAGCAGCGCTCGCCCATCGTTGTCGTCACAGCAACGTGCTGGCGCACGAGGTACACCGCCTACATAACAGAGACGGCCACAACCTCCAGCAGCAGCGGCAGCGGGCCGCCGGACTGCTGTGGATCGGGGGAAGGAAAGCAAAAAGAGAGCCGCCCAAGGCACCTTGGGCGGCAACATCATGAACGCATTCGCTATCGGCAGCGGGACGCCGGTGAGTTGTTTTTCTGACAAAGTACGAACTCTGTACATTTGTACATGCGGAGTGGTACAGCAGTACCGAGAGATTCTGGAAAATGAAAACAAAGACTTGTTCTTAGAAAATACTCCAGTACGGTACACGAGAATGTTTTTATGTATATATGGGGTTTTGGTTGGTATTGATTTAGTTTTTGGTTTTTTGCTATTCTCTTGGATTTGTGTGAATCAATTAATTTTTTACTTTTGGCAGACGATATCTTGTTTTTAGAGAATACAGTACACGTACCAATTTCTTGTCTGACCCCTCCCAACGATCTTGCACGTGTAAGTCTCGTTGAAAACGAAGACCTATCTGAACGACAATTCCGCTCTTCTTTCATCGTGCCGAACAGATTGTGCGGACTCGCGGTGGTGTCAAAGAGCTTTTATCCAGTGTCAACTTCCCATCGCCGGCCCCGGAACCCCGCGTACCTTGCCAACACTGCAACATGACCTTGAATCTGCAAGGCCTCGGAATCCACGTGAAAACCATGCACAGCAGTGCACATGTTAGACGGCGTGCGGCTGCAGCGAATGTTAGGAAAGAACACGAAAGTGGATGTCCTGCCCTCGGAACGCGCCGGGCCTGGGCGTTGTTGGCACGTGAAGATAGATGGAACCACGGGGGCGGCTTCGTTCGTCCTCCAGCGGAAGCACCTCCCCCACATCAACTTGGAAAGCGACCGCTTCACTGCCGTCAAATCCAAGGAGACTCGTGGCGCTGCTAAGCGCATGCGGTACGACTTTAGGTTCAAAGCCCACGTGGCCAACCAACTGCTTATCCTCCAGGAAGACCCCAAAGCCCTATACGAGGCCGAACATCTCACCCCCCAGCAGTACGTGGAAACGTACATGAAAATCGACCACAGCCTTTCAGCAAGTGGGCCAAGGACGAGGACAAGATCGTGAGGTGTGCGGCACACGACGTAGCGAAGACGCTATTCGCGAGACAGCAGCCAAAACGATGGTTTCCTCAGGCAGAGAAGGCGCTCTACGAGCGTTTTTTGGGTCGTCGCAAGACGAAGCTGAAGGTGTCGACCCTTTGGCTCACCATCACGTACCGCAAGCTGCTGCAGGAGATGTACCCTACCGACGACCGGGCGGCAGCGTTTCGCCCGTCCTTCAGGTGGATGCAAAAGGGGCCAAGAGACACAGTCTTTCACACCGGCGCCGGAGCAACTTGAAGACCAAGTCTGTCGAGGAACGCCTGCCGGAGATCCGGCGGTTCCATAGGAAATTTCGCAAGCTGCTCAAGGAGCCGGTGCGACGCAGGGGGTTCGTCCTCCCTGAGGCTGCGCCGCTATCGACGGGTGGGGCGGAAGAGACCAGGCTAGAAGAGCATGGGCAGTTCCAGCTGAAAGAACGCTTGGACGTGGACCAGGAGCCGTTGCCGTTTGTGCCCGGGCTGCTGACCACGTGGGACAAACGAGGCGCAAAGCTTGTAGCCATCAGTCAGCCGTTTGCTGGTCTGGAGAAAAGGCAGTGCACCATGCAAGTCATCTCTGGGCCGGGCAAGAGGCTCATGCGCATTTCTTTCATTATCCGAGGCACGGGGAAGCGGATCTCGCTGGTGGAGAAGGCCGCGTACCACAAGAACGTGGACGTGTTTGTCCAGCAAAACGCGTGGGCGGACCAGACCTTCTGCATGGAGTGGGCCAGGAAGTCCTACCGCCCGAGCTTGATGCGCGGGAGGAGTCAGCTCCCGCGTGAAAGGATGCTTCTTCTCATGGACAACTTGCACGCGCAGACGACGGATGAGTTTAAGGAATATCTGTCGAAGGAATGCAACACGCTCGCCTGGTATTTTCCGGCCAACACTACGGACGAGTTGCAGCCCGTGGATGCAAGAGCCGGACGCATGCTGAAGGTCGAGGTTGGGAAGCCACTGGAAATTTGGCTCGAGCAGTCGGACAACATCGAAAAGTGGGAAACCAGCGCGTTGACGGCGTCTGACCGGCGTGTGCTGATCACGCAATGGGTTGGGGCAGCCATGGCAGTTCTCGACAGCCGCGAGGAATACCGGTTTCGCCTCTTCGAAAAGTGTGGCATGGCAATGACAGTGGACGGTTCGGGCGATGACAGAATCACGTTGGAGGGTTTGGACAAGCCGTACACCTTCATGGGCGATGAGGACTCCAGCGACGACGAGGAACCTTCAGAGGCTGGCAACGAAGGGAGCGAGGGGGGGGAGACCAGAGGGATCGGGGAGAGGGGGGCGACAGCGAGGAGGGCATGGAGGACGGCGATTTCACCGACGAAGATGATGATGGCAAGTTGGATGTTGTGTCTTGCACCCCTCAGCCTTGTTGTTGTTGTTGTTGTTGTTTCCACGGATGAAGCAGTTGTGTGTAGCGATGAAAAGCAGTTTTAGAACGACGGGTGCACTTCTTACTGCGATCGCATTGCCTCTCTTTGCAGACACAGCCCGCGGCCAGGTTGACGAACTGAGCATTGTGGACGAAGATGCCAGCATGGACCCGGACGACGAGATTGGAGGCATGGAGAATCCGGACGGTTTTCGCGTTCAAGCGTCTAAACCTGCTGCTCTTGACAGTTCGTTACTGCAGCGTGGAGTACTCTTTAAGCTGAGCATGGGATGGTTTGGTGGGCTGATTACTCGGCAGTCTCAGGAGCGTACCCGCCACCTCTATGACTACCGTGTGCATTTCGAGCTAGACCAACGTACGCGCAGCATGAAGCTGCCGTTGGACAAGTACAGTGGAGATCCGGATCGGTGGGAGGGTCGTTGGCTTTGCTTGAGGGTAGCAACGTAGAGAGGGAGGAGGTCCGGCCATCGAAGAGCACGGCGATGGTAGAGCAATAGGCGTTAGTAGAGCGGGCAGGACAATCACGCCGAGCGTGACCCTTGTGGACCACACAACGGTCCAATGTTGCCCATGATGTCATTTTTTTTTGTGATACTGTGACGCGTCTGTATTTCTACCCTACCTACGATGGTGATCGCGGAAGCTAGGTGCGTTGGATCCAGAGGTGACCGAAGGTTTTTTTATGAAAAACGCTGCTCTAAGTAGGTTGAATCCACCGAGAATAAAACCGGTGTCCTCTGTATGGGGCCCTCGGCGTAGAAATAAGAACAAGAACCCCGTTTATCATAGGTAATGCCTGTTCGAAATAAGAACTTTGAAAATAAGGACAGGTGCTCAACTTGAGGCAGCCAATAAGCATCGAGCCTCGGCCAAAATAAGTGGTTCTTAAGTGCGGGGGATCCATAGTGGTTCTTAAGTGCGGGCGCCATCTGTATGCCAACTAATGCCAACCACCCAAAAGACTACCAGGTACTTCATCATTATGATATAAGGACCGACACACACTAATATGGAGTGGATTACTAATTTTAAAAAAACAACAACAAACCCTCAGACAGTCATGGACCTGGCAGGCGTCAAATATAACCGAAAGGTGTGGTATCTACTGGTACTGCTGTAGGCTGGCGACCGCATTATTAGATGGGACAAAACCACATGCCTACACCGTCGTCCTGGACTATTGACATAGGTTCGTATTGATATACCATTCCTCACGTGTCTACGTACCTTACGGCTTTACCTCTCCTACTTAGTAAGATCTCTGACCCGGGGTCACCCGTCAAAAACCCTCTACGGTTCATGCCTGCAGTCTTGCGACAACTCGAGAGGGTATGAGGCGGTTTTCTCCAGTTAGCCCTAGAGTCCCATATTGTTTCATGTCTGGGTGGCGTGTGGAGTACACACCAAGATCGACCTCATGAGAGAGGGGGAGCGGTACGAAAAGGGAAATGATTCGGGATAAGAGTTTTAAGTTGGACGGGGGCATCGGCTTTAACCTACGGCAATACCTTGAAAGGAAGTCTCCGCCAGGTTATCTAACATGTCGCTGTCCTACGAGTCATTCTGCCGACGTTCAAAAAAGTAGTTTCGGAGTTGCGTTCCTTCTCAGGCTGTGGGTTGCTCACTCGCCCATCTCGCGTGTACATTCGTTCGCGCCTGGTCATCCTGTTTACGAGATGCAACTTTGATCATACAGATCACTCTCGGAACATTCGTTCCCGACGGAAATCCAAGTTTGTCCAATTATTATGTAAATCTTCGCACTTACCACCACATTATGAATAGATTGATTCTCTTTATACTTTGACCACAACAACCTTCGGTATCTTGGTTTATGCACGACCACAACAACCTTCGGTATCTGGTTGGTCAACCTTTCCTTAGGGCTCAGTGATCGGCTAGAGAGTATCCCCGTGGGCATGCAACACATGAACGGAAGAAAAAGGAAGAGTGTGGAGACCTTTTCACAATGGCGTCGACGAAGAGATGTCAGAGTGTCTGGTTTGGTTGCAAAGACACGGGTCCGAATCCCGCCGTTCGCCAAATTTTCTATAGGAAAACGGGAGATTAAGAAAAACGTTGTGTGGGCCAAGAAGGACGCACTGGCTATCTAACTCGGAACTTATGATGTGGCGGATGTAGCGAACTCGTGTAATCACGCACAGAGGATTGTGTGAAGGAGTGAATCGCCCCGCCGCCAGCCGGTCGGGTTCCGGTCACCCCTAGTAGACTTTTCTTGCCTAGCAAACAAGAAGAAGTCTCAAAAAGGGGGGAGGGCGATTTGGAGACTACCGTCCATCATGATACTATCTCCCCAACGTCCGTCGAGGACGATTCCCTCTTTTCACAGAATTGCCTCAGATGTATGTATGTGGGAGAGGCTTTCAGCGTAGTGTTTGCAATCAGATGTCTCCGATGCCACCCTTCAACCAGGGCGAAGTACAACAAGACGCAAGACCACCCCAAGGGCTTGAGCTGCTCTCATGTCTCACCCGTCCGTATCGTCTTTTCCACCTCTCTCTCTGTTTCTGTCTCTCTCGCTTCCCACTAGCCAGAGAGCGGTTGATGGTAATTGCTATTCATTGCTTCACAAGTAAATCATCATGGATTGCGATTACCATGGATGAGGGCCAAGCTCTCATGCTGGACCATGTTGATTTTTTTGTCGCTCCTACCATGAAAATATGGACTCTTGGTGCTCCTCTCATTGCGAGCTGATCTCGTCTCCCGTATCTCGCTCCTTCACGAGGCGCTCACTCGTTTCGTCTCTTGCCTTCTCGTTTCGTCTCTTACACCGACCTAACGCCAACTATTCATGTTTTATCCGACATGGTGGAAATACTTCGTTTCTGCACTGCGATTGTGGATCAACTACAGTTGTGCTGTCTCGCCAAGAGACTACCTCAACGTCGTATACCTCGGCTCTTTCCGTTACCCGGTTGATGCTTATGTTTGAAACGGTCTGTTACTTTCTCTGATACTCTTTACCCAATTTTCCCCAACCGCGAAAGCTTCACAACGGAATGATAAAAACAAAAGTGCCAGTGTCGTTGCCGCTCCGAGGTTTCAAGGCTATTCCTCCCTCGTGAGTAGAGCCAGCAATCCCATAAGGGCCTTAACATGGCGTAGAAGGGAGGATTCACTACTCATTCCCCAGTCATTAACTCTACTTGTTTTACTTCTTGTGCCTATTGGGGCATCTATCTCTCGGCATCTATCTCTCCTGGTCCTTTTTTACTTGTCGCCCCGATTAAGCTGTGCCTCTTGAACCCCAATTTCTTGGTGTTCTAGGCAATCTGGGGGTCTTTGTCCGGACGTGTTTTTTTCACTGCAGGTCTCACACCTTCTTGATGGCCATGCTACACCTGGGCTTCTACACTGGCGTCAGTAGAAGAGGCCCTATCTATCGGGCAGAATTTCCGTGTTTCAGCAGCAGGGCCCGCTTTTAGATCAATGTGAGCACTGGGGAATCTATTGTTGGATTATCGGTGTTGGTTTTTCCATGTAAGTCCTTCTGGGGGAGACAGAACGTCAGCGTTTATGCGTGCGTTGTTGACAACAGTTGGCGGTGGGCTGGTGTCGAGGCAGGGGTACATTGGAGGTTATTGATGATACTTCACGATACTCTCCACTCGTTTCGCTGCCCTCCCTACATTGAACGGAAGATCTGCGAAAACGTGCGGGATGTGCAAGTGTGATCACTGGCCGACATGGAGACACCCGGGATTCTTGCGGTTCCAGCGCCGGGCGCTCACTTTGTTGTTTACCCCGGCAGTTCATGGAAGTGCACGGTTGACGCGCACAATTCCCTCTCACTTCCACGCGTAGAATCCTCCAGTTGGCGCCGCGTGTTCGATGTTGTGTCCTTTCGATCATTGAGCAAACTACAATGGGTTGCATGTTTACGTAGGAAGTGACATGTCCACGAAACTAAGGTGTAATCTACCACAAAGTACACTACAGAACGTGCAATCTTCTATTTTGGCTGAGGCTTGCGTTGTTGGTACCTCTTTGGCCTGCCTATAGCCACTTATTAGTTTGTGTGTATTTCGCTTTTTCCGGTACGTTCTACATAGGTTTTATTTAAACTTCGAAATGGGAGCCTGAAAATCTTACGTACCTGCCAAGTTCTTGAGTGAGGCACGTTCTGCAGCCGTTGAAACTTGTGAGGGAATGGCATGTTTTTGGCATCGCTGTCTCGCTGTGTGCTGTCGTTTGTGGAAGATCATGGTTCACTCCTAGAGGAATGTCCCACACCGCCTAGATGCTGCATCGGCACAAGAGCATGCAGCCTTTTGTGGGATATCTCGGCATTACCTATTCCAAAGCCAACTTGTAACCCCTTTGATTTCCATTGTTCTCCCAGGTTCAGTATGAGCGTCTGGATCGAGGAAAGTGGCCGCTGCGCAGCTGCCATCGGAAATACTTCCACATCTTTGCGAACGATTTCTTGACAAGATCGATCTCTCCAACTGCGATATCTTGTTGAAAAAGTTGGGTGTGCGAACGATTTCTTGACAAGATCGATCTCTCCAACTGCGATATCTTGTTGAAAAAGTTGGGTGTGGTAGGTTGGGTACGAATTGACTTGCAGCTCTCGCGGGGTGGTTTGAAACGTGCTTTTTTGCGTTCTACCTCGTATCCGACATTCGAAGGATGTTGACTGTTGGCATGTCGCTCGCGAACGTAGGAGACATCGTTCAAGTTGTGACTCGTCCATTCGTTAGACCCCCTGGGCGTAGGTCAGTCAGCTCCGATCGAGGCAAAATACGGTTGAGCTGTATTTTGGAGCTGTCTCTGGTGTGGTTTCTCTCGTTATGCTGAGTTTCAGTCCTGATAAACGTACGAACAAAAAGCGTGCTGCATGTTGCTGGGGATCGTCAAAAAGCCGATTGCGGAGGGTGTTCATGCTTCGTGTGTGTGTATCCACTTTCAAGATATATATTTTGGAACCTGTTACAAACAAGAAATCGACGGAAGACCGACCCGAAGCGGATCAGAACGATATGGGGGCCGTCAGGGCGCGTTCAAGTAACCTAAACGGAAAGGTTTTGACCTGGACGGGTGTGTGGTGTACTCCGGCAGAATAGGAGAAGACCCAGCGGAAATAGTTCTACACAATTGAATGTAGCTGTAGCTGTTGTCCATCGTTCCTTTGTTGTTCGTGTTGTTGCTATTGCTGCTGCTGCTGCTGCTGCTGCTTTTTTTCTGTGTGGTGTTAGTGTTGTTCTTGGGTCTGCTGATGGCGACGTTGTCTGTCTCTCTTTGATGGTTCGATTCGTTTGAATTCTTGGCCTCTCGGACAGCGAATACATTAAAAGCAGCAATAAATGAGGTGCAGCATTGCCGGCCCGCTCGTCGGAATTGGTTTGTTCGTAAGAAACCGAGGCTGCTCAGATTTTGGACAATTAAGGAAAATACTCTAAGAAATTGAGAATAGCGGCCGGCGATACATGAACTCCTTCACATATATACAGCAGCCTTTGCTCAGTAGTCTGGACAAAATAAGGTTTGAGCCTCGCTCGAGATAGGTTAGAGAGATAGATATATAGGTGTTTGTGATGAGCGGGCCGACCTTATATTCTTGTGCTCATGTCATCTGTGCTTCTTTTTTGAGAGCGAAGGACGCTATCGACTCCGAAGCTAACTGGAATTCGCGAAAAATGTGCTTATTTCGACACGTCGGCGGCAGTGCTTTGGTGTGTGGCATCCATCAGACACTTGTCATGATAGAGACACCTTGTTTTCTTGTGGTCGCGATAGGGACCGACACTAAAGAATAACGTCTTTGTTTGGTGTTTGTTGTATGTATGTCCTTGATGAAGAAAAACAAGCAATTCGTTGTAATAGAACGAACGGCATACCCTACAGGTATAGCTGCGTTGTTACAAATCATCCCCTTCCCCCCTCTGCATGATGAAGCCCGTACCCGCAAAATGATGGGGGGGGGACTACATACAGGTATTGGAAATGAACGGGCAGCGTCGTAGAGTTGTACATCGTATAGTAAGTGTGAAATATGAAAAGCAAGGAAGTTTTTCAAGCGGTTCCAATCGTATCAAACAATACACACGCACACTATATGTTGTATTCTATGTTCCATATTGTTCGTACTTCACTACTACTCCAGCTGTAGATTATTAATTTTTACGAAAAGTATGCTACTACACATAGGAAACAGACATAGAACGACCCCAACTCAGTCTTCTACTTTTTTTTTTTTTCTCCCATCATTGGACTCCCCCCCGGCGTTTACCATCGGGGTTGGGTTTTCGTCGCTTGGCAACGACGTTGTAAAACAAGCCAATTCACTTCGTAAGCTCGGCAAACAGGTTACCTTTTTTTTTTTCCTGTCTTTTTTTGGCGGTAACCATAATGAATGGTGGTCGAGTGGATCATGTTGTTCGGGGTGTGTGTGTTTCGTGTTTTCGTCCTATTTATTATGGCGACAGTCCCCCCATTTTTCGTGGTGAGACGTGTACTACACTTTTCAGCGTATGTAGAGTACTACACTTTTCAGTGTATTTTTTCGTACAACTACAACCATCAAGGATCACACAGGGGGGTTAAACACCAGGGCTTTTTCTTCTTTTTTTTTCTTTCGTGGAGAACCCTCACTCCGCGCAAGGGGGATGATCGCACCACGTTGTGTTAAAATGGTCAAGCA